CTGCAACACAAACAACAACAGCAGCAACTGCAATGGCTCCGGCTGTGGCAGCAACCGCTTGGCTTGTTGGCCTGTGCGACCACAGCTGGGTGTCCTGTGCGCGCACAGTTAAGCAAACTTTGAGGGCAAAGGAATGGGGCTGAGGACAGCGCCACAACGCCCTGAACAACAGCAATATCTGGCAGTGCTGCTACCTGGCGGAAATCTAGCTGAGGCGTTGATGAAAAGTCGAAAATATTATGCTCTGATAATATAGACAGAGTTTTGGATGGTGAGTTTTTTTTTACTGCCTTTAAAGTTTCGCGTAGATTCTATAAATCTAAAATTTATTTAGGTGTTACAATTTCTAGCTAAAAAACGCAAAAAGTAAGTGTCAACATTATTATTCAAGAAATACACCTTAATATGGCTATAAAATGGCCAATTATAAAAGCATCGCTAGCAGGAAAGCTCCAAACGGTTGGCATAAACACACATATTTAAAGAACATAGCTAAATCTGGCTATATAATGGCTAACTAGCCAGCACTGCTACGTAACCTATTATTGTTTATCTTTAATTCCTCATCTAATTTTAAGTTTAAATTTCTAGCAGAAAAGAGCCAAAATCTATTGTTGACATATATCGCTAAGGACTTTAGCTACGTCTAACTATAAAATGGCCAGTTTGACAGGATTGCTGCGTACATTAAAGTTTGTTACAGTTTAAGCTTTAATTTCTAGCTAAATAAAGACAAAAGAAAAAAGCTAACTGGGTAACTAACTTATTCTGCTGCTTCAAATAATAAAATAATTTAATTTAATTAATTTCTGGCAGAAAAAGCCTGAAGACTGAGGCTATAAACTGGCTAATTAGAAGTTGTCAGTTTCACAGTTGGTGTGACAGTTTCAGTGTTCATTTCTAGCAGAAAAAAGGCAAAAGTAAGCGTTAAAAGTGATTAATCTGGCTATAAAATGGCCGAGTAGACAGCACTGCCTGCGTAAGTTGTCAGTTTTGCAGTTGGTGTTACATTTTTACGTGCTCCAACGCCCAATGATGGCACGCACACACACAGCTGCACAATCAAACACACACGCACACACACACACACACACACACACACACGCACACACGGAGTCGGTGGTCAACGGACAACGCCTACGCAGAGTCACAGTCAGAGGCCGCGGCAGGCAATGGCCATGCCGCATGATAAATGTCCAATCTCTGGCACAGCCTAGGTGAGCCGCAGACTGAGTAGCTGGGAGAGGGAGCTGTGTACGTGCTCGCCAGGAGCAGGACGTGTGCCAGTGAGTTATGCGGCATTTGGCACATGGCGCAGCAGCAGCAACAACAACCGGAGCCCTGCTTCAGTCATGGCACAAGATTATTCGGACAAAATCAATTAAAATGCCAGGCGGCATGACTCACAGAGGCGACCCAAACGATGAACGGTGAACGGTGAGCGGCACAGATATTGTGATGGAAGAGTTGCGTCCAAAATAACAAGAAGAAGACACGCACATCTGCGCTGAGGTTGGTCTTCAAAAAAGCTGTTGAAAGCTTTTGGCTTTTGTGTCTGTGTGCTCGGGCGTTGATGGGCCCAATAGTGTGGAAATTACAACGCTTATGCAAAAGGGTAGATGAATTTGCATAACCAATCATCGACAGCAGGCGGCAACAACAACAGCAACAGCAGCAGCAACAACATGGGGGCAACAGTCCTCACACTTGACCCCATTTTCGTGGAGCTGGAGGAGCAGGAGGCAGCACGTTCTGTAATCGATCATCAATGCCAAAAGTGGCCGCATGTCAGCGGCTCATCCGCATCAACAAAGTGCAGACATTGTGGCGATTGCAGGCGTGCAGCAACAACAACAGCCAACAGCAACACCATCAGCAACAGCCAACGGACAACAGTCAACGGCCAATGCATTGGGGCAATAACAATGCGCATACCACAGATATCAATTAATTTCAGCGACGTGAAAAGGCCAACAAATCGTAATAAGTCAATGCCGGGGGTTCGAACCCCGACATTGGCGGCTCTTTCAACGGCCAAGAATCTATTGATAAACACAAATAAATTTGTGTGCATGCGTGTGTGTGTGTCGAGTGTGTGTACGCGAGTGTGTGTGTCGAGTGGCAGGATGAATGTCTATATGTCGATATGTCCGCATGTCTGTTGAGAATCCAGCACAGCTTCGATGCAAAGTCACAATCATCATCAATCGGTTAAGAAAATATTTAACAAGTGTTTGAATGATTTTGAAAAATGATGTGCAGCATGTGCAGCAGCAGCAGCAGCAGCCGCAGCAGCAGCAGCAGCACATGGATACGAGCGCAATTCCGGCACTGACAAGCCGGCTACGATTCTGGGCAGGCAGCTCTGCTCGAGCTCTACAAATTATTGCACGCGATCGCTCATTTCCAGCAGAAATAACACAAACACGGCAGCAGCAACAACAGCCAAGATTCGATCATAAACCAGCCAAGCAGTCGAGCAGGCAACGTTCCGTCCAGTGGCTGTTCCAGTGCCCATGCCGCATGCCACATGCCCCTGCCCCTGCCCCTGCCCCTGCCCCACACACATAACCGTATCCGAATGCGATGTCGAGAGATATAGCAAATAAGATATGGCTGGGGCATGTCATGCGCCCGCGACTGTGAAAACATCTCAATGGCAAAAGTATCACATCATTCATAATTTCATTGCCGGGCAAGTGGGAATTGGGGAATTGGTAAATGGGAGAATCGAGTCGGCTGGGCCCAGGGGGAGGGGCAGCGAGCGGGGCGGGCATTGGGGAATTGAGTTGTTGTAGCTGGCCACGAAAATCTCTTGCCTCAAGTGTTGAATGTTTGCTCAAATAACAACAACAGCAACAACATCGGCAACAGCTACATCGAGCCACAGATCTTGAGCTCTCGATCTTGTTGTCGATCTCAGAGGCGCGGTGAAATTTGACAAATGAACCACCAAAAAAAATACATATATACACATATATATAGATATAGATACTGATAGCATGTGTGCCTGGCCTGAAGTGATCATTATTAATGATGACGATTTGTTGATATTTTTGTAACGTGTTGTGGCAATGGCTACGTCTGCTACTCACCCGAACCCGTTCAAATGAAATTACAAACAAGTGCAGTCCTGGCCACAAATGCCAAGTCATGCCAACCACCCGCCTGACGACGACGACGACGACGACGACGATGATGATGATGATGCACACAAATTGCTGTCCAGCTGCTCGGTGTGATCGCAGTCTGCTCCGAGTGCTGCTGGCCGGAAATCTTTGCATAATCTAGGCTTATAATTCAATTAATACGATGCCTTGTGCACTTAACGCCGAGCCTGAAGTGCAACACTAGAATGCTGCCACATGACTGGCAACTTGAGTGTCGAGTGGATCGCGATCTCGGAGCAAGGTCCCATCCTCCCTCTGGGCTCTGGGCTGCCAACGCAAACGCCGTCACACTGTCTGCTGCGGATGCCTTCAGCTACAGCCTCGACTTCGACTTCGTCTTCGTCTCTGACTGTGGATCTGTGTTCATGTGCACCGGAAATCGATTTCGAGTGTTGCCAAAGATCAGTTGTGGCATTAGCAAGTGTCACATTAGCGTTCAATTGCGCCATGCTCAAACGGTCTGAACACTTGGCTTAAAAGCTTGCATTCTGGCTAAGTAACAATCTTGATAAGCTTTGGCAAATATTTGATCCATTAATGAGTGGTAAAAACATGTCACGTCTCTAACTGATTGCAGCTGGAATATTGGAAACTACGATCTCTAGTCCTTAACAATTGCAGCTACTAGATTTTAAATAATGTATAATATTGCTATAGATTTAAACTAATCTTCCTTATTTAGGTGAAGATCACTATTTAATTGTCGAAAATAATAATCCATCTAATATTGTAATATATCAAATCTGTTCTTCCTGCTCCAGCTAACGATGATTACTTTAAATGCATTAATAATAATCTTCACCTATTTGTTATATTATTTCTACGATAATTTTCTAAGTTTTCCTTCCTTATATTAAACTATCGATATCGATAGCATACAGACACGTAATCGATATCGATAGTTAAATAATAGACTACCTTCAGGCTGATCTGTAATACTATAATAGCTTGCCTATTATTTTATTTATTTTCATCGATTCCAAGCTATGCTAATCTAGACAATTGTAATATGCAAATCAAATATGTGTTATCGGAATCGATATTCAATAATCGAACAGAAAAAATGTTACCACTTAATCAAATCGATAATCGAATCTATTTTGAATAAGAGTCTCAACTAGCTCCTGTTTTAAATGGTTTGAGCTCAAGATATAGATAGTTTAAAAAGTTATCCACACGTTTTATGCGCATCGATAAATTAATAACACATTAATCGATTGTTTTTAAAAAGTGTGTTTTTCTTTGCATTTTAATTGATTTCGATTCATCATTAATTGTAGTTGTTTATAATTTGTGTTAACTAAATGTTTTAGTTTAGTTTCATTTTCATTTAATCAATCTGCGTTGCTTATCAATTTCGGCTATTAGAACTATGTACAAAATGCCTGGCCAGTTACATATGTATATCTGTATATCATATATGTCTATATTTATATATAGGTATTCTTTTTTTATACATTTAAAAAACAAGAAAATAAACAATAACAACATTTCTCATGATAGGCATATATATACTATAAATATTTTACAAAAGCCTTGGCAAGCAGCTGCATTTTTTTTTTGTATACCCTAACAACTAAAAGTTAGTTTGAAAGCAAGAGAGCGAGAGAGAGAGAGAGAGAGCAAGAGAGAGAGAGATGGATAGTTGCTTGGATAGTTAGAGAGCAAAACACTTAACGATTAGGCATTAAACTAAATTAAATTTAAATTTCATTTAAATTAAATTAACTAAACTATGCTTAGGTTTTTTTGTTTTATGTTTTATAGGCTATGCAGGAATGTATGTGTTGTAGTATTCTGAGATGAGATATTGGATGTTGCCGATTCTATGTGGACTGGGGCGCGTTTCCGGATGCTCAAAGCATCAAACAGCTGATGGATTGTTGACGATCCTCGACGATGTGTTGAAATACTCGTAATGTTTTAACCACTTTTTTTATATATTTTATTTTATGTTTTTTTGTTTTTAGTATTTGTTTTTCATTTCATATGAGCGTTTGCTGTCTGCTACGACGCTTTACATAAAATTTTGACTAGGAAAGGACGTTTTTTTCGTTTTATTTTTGTTGTTGCTGTTGTTTTTGTTGTTGCTTAAGAGCAGCCCACAGCCAGCTGATGCACATAGCTTTAACTGAGCATTGTGTTCAGTTTTTTGTTAGTTTTCTTTTATTGAAGCTAACGATGAGCACGCGCTGGCGAGGACTGCTGCAGTCACACCTCGCTGGGCATACAGTGAACGCTCGAGTCCTGCGACAATTCATCCATGGAGGATTCTAAAAAGAGACACAGAGAGAGGGAGAGGGAGAGAGAGAGCGCAAGAGAGAGTAATTGATTAGAACCAGCGACTTGGTTAGATTTGTTTTAAAGGTCGGCTCACCATGCGCTGGATATAGAGCCCCTTTGGTGCCATTCATATGCATGGGATTCTGTGGGTTATTCTGAAACGAGTACGTTAACTGCAGGTTAATATGACGCGCAAATGAGCTTCCTTCCGGTTCGCGTACTGCAATCAGAAATCGTTTGTCGAATAGAACTTGATTAGCAACATGGCATGGCATATTCTTTATATATATGATATGTCTATATTTATATATATATATATATATATGTATAAGTAGGAACTAGTTAGTAGAGCTACTTAGTTGTTTATGTCTACTTTGGGTTCGGCATGCTGCACTAATCCACTACTTACTTTTATTCTTACCAGCATGTATGTGTTTTTTCTGACGCGCACGCGAATTCTGAAACCAAACTTGCGTCACACGCTTGCTCAGACCAGTTACTGAGGCGATGCGCTCCAAATCCTGGCCATCCGGATTACTGTCAATCTGAAAGTTGGCCTGCAGCACTTGCAATTGCTCCTCGGTGAAGGTGGTGCGCACGCGTTTCGTTTTACTCTTGTGATAACCATCACCATCACAGCCATCTATGGAAATCGAATCAAAGTGGAATTTCGTTTAGCTAGCTGAAGATTTAACATGGAACAACTATAGTACGGCTCGGTACGTGCCTAAGCCGCGCCGCGTCTGTCTAAAAGCATTTTGACAGTGCACCAAATTGAAAATGTCAAATGTGTTTATAGTTTATAGCCGTGCGGCTTTATGGCCTCCACTTCTTGGTGGTCCGCGGCGCAGGGGCACCAACAACAACAACAACAACAACAACAACAACAACAACAATGAGAACAACAACGAGAACGACAACGAGGAGCAGAACGTGCACAGCGACATTCTGAAGCCGATCACGTCGTCTGGCGCGTCGCGGCTTTGACTCTTTATGCCTCAGTTATGACACGATTTCATCAAGAGCTCGCACAGGAGCTGACTTGGTCAACGACTTTGCGACTACCTGGCGCTTAGTTTCCACCAAGCGTTCCAAATTGCCAACCGATTCGCTTGCAACCAAAGCGTGCTACATGTTGTTCTCGTGCTTGTTGTTGTTATTGTCGCCAATGCAACATGTACTTATTTGTGGTTTGGCTTTTGTTTTTTATACACTTGCATAGGGTATTCTGATTGGGACATGCAAAGTGTAACGCATGGAAGAAGATATATCAGATATATATCTTTATGATCAGGATCAACAGGTGTAAGGGCTACAATATTGGCCTGTTTGTCGTCCGCATTAAAGCTCTACATCACAGATCATATATCTTCCATAGAACCAATCGCTGGAAAAGTGAATATTTGAAAGCTTTTCCCTTTTTCAACATATTCGGATCAGACTCAGCTATTGTGGGCTTCACTCTTCAGGTCACATATCTGCCAAGCCACAAGCTTGCAAGGGTATTCAATCTTCGAACTTGCCTTCCTCTTATTTTCTTGGCTATTTTATTATATTTGATTTTGGCTACGCTTACCGTCACTTGATGTGGTGCCACCCTCGACCGTTTCAAGATAATGAGCCTTGCAGAGCACACGGTCATCCATGAGCGCAAACTGTTCGCCGGTGGACAACTGGCGTCCACACTGATCGCAGGCAAAGCACGCCAAATGGAAGACCAAATCGCGCGCTCGTCGCACCCAGTCGGAGGCGGAGATGCCGCGACAGCATTTCGAGCACTTGGCGCCGAAATTTCTGCAATAATCATAAAGAAAATAAATTGCATGAAAAGAGAACGGAAGTTGTTGTTAATGTTTGTAAAGTTGTATTTTAAGCAGGACAATTATTTCTTTATTTATTGGGCGCGTTTTGCTAGCGTTTTGCTTGCGATTGTTGCATTTTTTGTTGTGCATTTATTTAATAACTTTTAGGGTGTACCTAAGAAATATATTTCGAAATGTGGTTGAACATTTTATACCAAGCAGCTTTTGCCAGCGTTTTGCAAGCGTTTTGCTTGGAGCTTCCGCGCGTTTATGCTGCGTTTGGTCAATTTCAAGCGTTTTACTTGCGTTTCACAGGCGGCTTGCTAGCGTGTTGTATGCGTTAATGCGATTCTGCAATATATGTTGACGTGCGTTTTTCTCGCGTTTTGTGTGCGATTCAGATGCGTTTTTTAAATTGCAGTGAAATTATAAATTGTTTTAAAATTAAGCATTGCTTTACTTATATGTCTTCACATGCTTTTTGCTCACGTTTCACTTGCGTTTTGTGTGCGTTTTGGATGCGTTTTCAGTGGACGTTTTCTAAGCGGAAGTTGTCGCTCTCTCGCGCCTGCGTTTTTCCAAATGAGTTGGCATCTTTGGCAACGGCTTATTGTTAGCTTTTAAGCTTATTTTTACAAGCACAACATTGTACGGCCGTTTGGCTGGGATGACTGGACCTCAGGCTCTATGACTCTGATGTCTCCATCTTCAACGCCAACACCAACACCAACACCAACAGCCCACCCCACCCCACCCCGTTTGGCCCAGCGCCCAATGCACACTTAAAATTCTTAACTTGAAAAATAAATATTTTTACAGCATCTCACGGCGCGTTTGTTTGTTTATTTTCATTTCGTTGGCCGTCGACACCGTTTTCCGCCTGTGTGGACAGCCCAGACAGACCAAGCGACAGCCAGTACGTGTATCTGTATCTTTGTGTGTTTGTGTGCATCTGTAAGATACTTTGCTTGCAACTTGCATTTAAAGTCTGTCTGAAAGTTGCTTTCGAAGCGTTTTGGCCGCATCTTTCGACTGGTCTGTTTATCTTAGGGATTAAGTCGCAACGTTGTCGAATTGTTACAATTAACCTCAGACTCTTCTTTTATTTTTGTGATCATGTACCCCATGTACTCAAACGTGTGGGAAAATATGTGGAAAACACTTGTGCACACACACACAGCAGTGTTTGGGGGAAAATGCTTTGGAAATCGAACAATGATCGCATCGATTACGACATGGGAAGATCTGTCGAGAAAGTGCCCAATAAAACATTAAATTAATGCCAAAATTAATGCAGAGAATTGACTATGATATCGGCTATACTATAAATATAGATATATGTCGAAGCTAAGCCAAATGTTTACCATAAAATGCGCATAAAATGCGAGCAACAAATCTGGTTTGATAATGATTTTTCGTTTTGTTTTTGGCATTTGTTTAAAATATGCGTTAAATTCTTCAATTTGTTATAGATAGATATGGATAGATATAGCTATGACGACTCACTTGCTGTAATCGGCCTTGCAGTAGACCTGGCGTTCCCTGATGAAGCACGACTGTTGCCGGTCCAGCGGGCACATGCACATGCAACATCTGAGGCAATGGGCGTGCCACGAGCAGCCGCCAACCTCGAGAAAAAATCGATCCGAGATTGGTTCGCCGCACGCTGCGCAGGAACGCAGCTCAGTCTGAAAAAAATAGCAAATAACAAGTAAGATACATATTAGATAAATGTTTTGGCATCTATATATACAGAGGAGTATGCTCTGGCTGAGCATCGGACTAGCAGGCGTGCGGTCGCTGGTTCAAATGCACCAACATGAGCTGGTTTGTTACAATTTCTTCTAGCATATAATGAACATGTATATTATAAGGTTAATTGATAGATACAAATTGGATAAAGGAGTTTCTCCTCACTCTGCGTCGAACTAACCAGCGTGAGGTCACCGGTTCAAATATACCAACTGAAGCGGCTTTGAGTCACTTGCATTCATTTAAGCCGGGCGTCACCGCTTAATATCTTCTAGCACATATTATACATACATATCTCAAAGAACATTGAAAGATCAGTGCACTCTGGCGCTTGACTAGCCTTAAATGTAAATTGTTTCACAGCTACAACCAACAAAGAGAAAGAAATTCAAAGAGCCAAATTTATTTGCTCGTTTGATGTGTGCTCGAAAAGCCGAACCGGTTCGATGCTGTATTATTATTTTATTTTATTTTTATTTTTTTTTTGGAACACTGATCTTAACTCTTATAGCAGCAGCTGGTTGGCATCTTTTGTTATGCTTTCAGCTGAAATCGCTCAATAAATCTATCGAATGTGCCGTCGGCTTCTGTTTTATTTCTCGGCTGCAACATTTAACTTATTAATGTATATTAAAATTCGAAAAAGCAACAACAATCAATAACAAATAATACTAGGAAACGCCATCGTCTATTGAGGCAGACGAGTTTCTTTTGTTTTTGTTCGTATCGTAGCATAAATTTAAAAATCTTATGCTAATTGTTATCATTTCAATGTAGCTGAAACTGCTTTACTAATCACATTCACATACCAAGTCGCAGTCACGATCACAGTTTGTGTCACAGTCTAAGAGAAAAACGAAACACACAAAACTTGGCCAAAAACGAAACAATATTTATCCAATTTATTAGCCATCAATTGTGCCCCTTATACATATTCATTTTAAACAGCATGTTACTCCGCTTTAAAAGTGTTTCAAACAAATTTGATCACATTTCATATATATATATATACAAATATATCTATATATAAACCTGGCTACCCGTATTGTTTATTTTAAATGGATTTTCTGTGTTCGCGTAATATATCAATTTCAAAAATTATCAGCTGCAACAACATATTTTAATTTAATTTACTGCTGGGCGCGCTTAATCATTATATGGGGCAATATTTTGCAAGGTTCGATCGAAATTTAACAAAAATATTTTATGAAATTCTATATGTGTTTTGCCAAAGTTCTTATTTCTAAATAATATTCCACTTTAATAATATATTAGGCACGTTTACTGTATAAATACATAAATAACATGGACTTAAGATAAGCAGAATAATATATAATAAATAATTGATCTTTTAAGCTAAATCCATCTAAATGGGTATAAATTTGTAATACTTTGAGCAAATTATAAATTAGAGAGCATTGAGTATGGGTTATGGAATATATATTGAGAATAAATATATTAAAAATAAAAAAGTTGTTTTTTTTATAGAACGCATTTCGACTATATTTATTTAACAACAAAAAAACAAATTAGTGAAGACGAGTAAATACTTTTGTTTTTTTACATAATCTTCGTGCGCCGTCACTTTGAGCAAAAGTTTTTGTTAGACAATTACCAACTTCTCTTGATTGTTTATACTTAATTAAATCGTCTTATGGCTTAATTCTTGACAAAGTTTCAAACTTCAAATGCAATTAAATTTCGATTAATTTTCGTCTTTTGTCTACTTTAAAACGTTTTAATTTCTCTTGTTTTTGCTGAGCAATTTTATATATAGCATAAAATACGCAGTGTTTGGCTTAAAGGCATTTAATTAATGGCCAGCGTTTTGCATATTCACAAATTCATTAAAAACAAAAAAAAAAAAATAGATTGTCAACGGGGAAAAAAAAGCCAACAGCGACTTCAAAATTGTTTTTCCATTAATCAAAGCGGCAAAAAGCGGCAGTGAAAATAAATTTACCGCTTTTTACAAATTAATTGCTGGCGTTGGCGATGAGTTGTTGTTGCTGTTGTTGTTGTTGTTGTTAGAGCAACAACTGATTGTTGAGCGTTTTTTTTTGCAGCAACGGCAGCGTCTGGCAGCTTGTTATTAAACTTTAGCTGACAAATTTTCAGTTAAAAGCGGCCGCCGACAAAAAGTTGCCATTGACAAAATACACAAAATAAATACAAATAGGCGCGAGACATTAACAACAATAACAACAGCAAATACAAATACAAATAATACAAAATATATAAATATATAAACAATAACTCGGCCGTGACTAGGCCGCAGGAGGCGGCACGAGATCAAAGTTTGTCGCTCGACAGCAACTAAACCAATTAATAAAACAATAAAGTATGGCATCAAGTCGCTGAAACTAAGCGCATGTGACGCAGTTGAGGAAAACCAACAAAACAACAACAACAACAGTAAAACGAAAACAAACCAAAATAGTTATTCATGACAATTTGTAGCTACAAGCTGGCAACCTATGAGATACCTCTGCCGCTTGGGTAGATTTGTGCCTGGGAAATATGCCCGCGTTATGGAAAATTAAATAGCCAAAAATGCCAATATGGCCACCATCAACAACAAGAAACACACACAAGCACACGCACACACACGGGCCTGAGCAACATGTAGCTGCGCCTGTGTATCTCACAGATACACGACTGCCTGAGTGTGCGTGTGTGTGCGTGTGTGTGTAGCTATAACTACATGCTAACATGGTGGCTGCTGCTCATTTTGCTGCCGCTGCCATTTAACTTTTCAACCGCGTCGCCCGTGTGACACGTTTAATCGCGCCCTCCCCTAGCTGCCCCCGGGGCCCATGGCCCACGGCCCACGGCTCCTGGCCCCTGGCCACAACGAGCCTGCGCGTTGACTGCCTGCCCTCCTGCCCGCCTGCCTGCCTGCCTGCCCGCCTGTCACTTTCGTTTAACTTTTCACATTGCTCGAGCGAGCGACCAGGAACCCAAAACCAAAAAACCCCAGAAGCTGCCAGACTCGAGCTCGGGGTGTTTTTTGGGCAATTTGTTTTCCCGACGCCCGTTATGACACACACGCACACACACACACACACACACATACAGCCAAGGCCAGACTTTGACTTGACTGGCGGTGTGTACTTCATGGATGCAGTTATTGTCGTGTTGCTGTTGTTGTCAATGTTGTTGTTCCTGCTGTTGTTGTTGTTGTTGTTCCTCCTGTTGTTGTTGTTGTCATGTCTATGCCCACTTTTGCAAAATATGTCTGCTGTCAGAGCGAAGTGGCATTTGGCTGGAATGTCATTTGACTGTAATTTACTTCATGCATGCTGAGGTTTTCACTGTGAGCTGCATAAATCTGTGGCCCAGCTTTGAATTTCAATTGAATGCCAATGCCGATAAGGACTTCACGTAAATATTATCATTTTGTTAAGAGTTCTATATTCAGTGGAATTTTATCAGTTTCGTTTATAAAGTATAAAGTTTACAGTTGATTTGGTTTGTCTTTGTTTTGGTTGCGTTACGCTTGCAATTCGCAACAAGTTAAAGCTACGGAAAGGCTACAAGGCATTCTTTGCAGCTGATAGAAAAGGGTGGTATCCTTAATAAAGAGAGAGGCAGCCTTTTGTTAACATTTATACTAAATTGGTCACTATGACTAACTTTAGCAAAACAATATTATCATTAGATGAGCTATGCGACCTACTCAGTTCTTTTGGTTTATCGATTGCATGCTCGAATCTCAGGCTAGAAACATTTGCTGATAACTTTAATTCATAAATACCTTAATTGATTATAAATTATTATTACTTAAAAACCAACATCTTACTTTTATATAGTATTTTAACCCTCAATAGACATCGCAACACACAAAGAAGCCTTCGATTCGAACCTTGCTCAGACTGCAGCACTTAGAACTAATCCAATCTGTCGCAACTTACTTAAAACATTCACATAATACTAAAAACTCAATAATTTAACATAATTCTAGAAAGTTTTTCCTATAAACAGCTTGAAATTGATAGCGACTGCAGCTCATTATGAGGATATAACATGATATCATCTACCACAAGGCGGCAATTGATTATCATAAGAACTGAATTAAGTTGGCTAAAATGCTAAAATGCCAGCTAAAAGATTTAAAGATCTGCACATAATGAGGCTTAATATGCATAAACAAAAGATAGTATTAGCAAATTTTATAGCTTACCAAACATACGCTCATCGAGAACAAAGAATGTGTAGCCGAGGGCAGCCAAAGGAACTGAAACCTAACAGAGTTCACGACGGCCATTTGATTATGAAGAACTAGATAAGCCGGGCAGTTTGTAGACATGTATTTCTCACATTTCTGCCATCCAGTTTTTTTTTTTCTGTGTTTTTTTTTTTTTAGCTGAAGTATATTATATAATGGGCATAGCTCTCGAGAGCCTTTAGATCGCTGTCTGCGCAGTCATAAAAATTCCATACACAAAACTTGCACCTTGCAACTTTTGCCTAAATGTCGTAAATAACAGGCACATAAAGAGCGAGACAAAAGGCCAGATAGAACTATAAAACAGAAATACAAATAAAACCGAAAGACATGACGCTGAAGAGTATGCAATAAAATTTACAAGCTGCCATTTAAAGCGCCCGCGAGGTGTGAGACTCGAAATAAATAATATAGATGCTAATATATCAAGGCTGCAAGCCGACTTTCCTCCGAACCAGTTCAAATACGGAATTCAAATTTATTTTACTCGTTGAACCGAACCTTAAACCAAGCCAAAGCGAAGCAAAACCGAAGCGAACCATAATTTAGTGAACAATTATTACTCTAACCAACAAATCTTTAAGATGAAATCTAGCCCGTAACTTGCATAGGAAAATATTTATGGCTTTCAATATTTTCAACGTACAACGGGCAACTGTTGAGTAAAAATTAAACTATTTCATTCAAGTTCTAAAAACCAAACAGAGC